TACGACAGGGGTGTCGAACTCATTTGTTATGAGGGCCAGATCTGGCATAAATGAGACCTTGTCGGGCAGGGCCACGTGCGTCATAAAATGTAATGCCAGGTATTGGAGATATAAACTTTATAAAGGACACAAACACAAAGGTTTTTTTTTACTTAAAATAAAAAACATGCTTCAAACATTAGCACTCTTGCAATATTTTCTTTATTTAACAGTGTCTGATAACTGCCACCTCTTGCTCTGAATCACTGCATCAAAATGTCTGTGCTGTTGCAATCCTGAGTGTGCTGTTCAGGTGTGTATCTGTAAGCTGCAAACCTACGATGACACAGCAGCAGCAGAACTGGAAGAAGAAGCAGAAGACAGCCAGTTCCACTGCGGGCCTGATAGAAGCACTCCGGGGGCCTGATCTGACCCCACGGCCACATGTTTGACACCCCTGACCTACAAGATCCTTCAGGGCCTGGTAAGGTAAAGGTAAAGGTTTCCCTTGCTCGAAAGACAGTCGAATCCGACTCTAGGGTTGCGGTGCTCATCTCCGTTTCAAAGCCAAAGAGCCAGCGCTGTCCGAAGACGTTTCCGTGGTCATGTGGCCGGCATGACTAAACGCCAAGGCGCACGGAACGCTGTTACCTTCCCACCGAAGTGATACCTATTTATCTACTTGCAATTTCTTGCTTTTGAACTGCTAGGTTGGGAGGAGCTGGAACTAGAGACGGGAGCTCACTCCGTCTTGCGGCACACTCAGGTCTTGAACTGCTGAACTACAGACCTTCCACAGCCTGCAGTTCAGCGTCTTAACCACTTGAGCCACCGCAGCTCCTTTCAGGGCCTGGTACCCACGTATCTAAAGGACTGTCTCTCCCAATATCCCAGTCTAAGCTTTTGTGTGCAAGCGCACTTCATCAGTGTGCTGAAGCTTAGATTGTGAATAAAAACTGTGTCGGTCTTCAAGGTGCCCCTGTACTCAAACTTTATTCTGCTGCTTCACGGCTGCCCCACCTGAAATCTAAATAGTTAAATAAACACATAAAATAGGACCCGGTGATGCCATCCTGGTTCGAATCCCCGCTTCTACCATGGAAGCTCCTTGGGTGACCTTGGACCCATCACAAACTCTCATCCTGGCCTGCCTCACAGGGCTGTTGTTGTGAGAAAATGGAGGAGGGAGGGTTTGATGTTGTAAAGCCGCTTTGAGCCGGGATATACATAAATGCAGTTCGAGACCCGAGTTGCCGCATGATGGAGTGAGCTCCCGTCTCTAGTTCCAGCTCCTGCCAACCTAGCAGTTCGAAAGCAAGACATTGCAAGTAGATAAATAGGTACCACTTCGGTGGGAAGGCAACAGCGTTCCGTGCGCCTTGACGTTTAGTCATGCCGGCCACATGACCACGGAAACGTCCTCGGACAGCGCTGGCTCTTCGGCTTGGAAACGGAGATGAGCACCGCAACCCTAGAGTCGGATTCGACTGGCTTTCGAGCAAGGGAACCTTTACCTTAATCACAGTCCCATCCCCTTGCAGCAAACAACTCTCCCGCTCAGTTTTCCTCCCAAATCATCTTAATCAAGCAGAATACGTTGACCATTATACTGTCTTCGAGACAAGTAACTAAGAAGAGAAAAATCAGATGGAGGAAATCCATCCTGGCTGCCACTGCCTTTACCGTAGGCAATGAGCTGGGTGTGAAACATCTGAAGCAAAACAGCCATCCCTTCCAGAAGCAGGGCTCTCATTAGGTAGGTCTCCCCGCAGGATAGAATCATTTCTGAAGTCACGCCCCTGCGCAGTAGGCAGAAGAGTTTCCTGAAGGCATATACCTTGAAGGCTGTAATAAGGAGAGGAATTTCTTGAAAGAACCTGGGTCATCTGGCCATTGCTGGCATATTAAATAAGAACTTGCGCTTCTCCACACCTGAAATGTTTCGTTTTGCTTGCAAGCGCCCTGAACAGCTTCCAAACCTGAGTTCCTAGAGTGTCCAGAAAGCCAAAATCCCATTCAGGCACTATAAGCTCTTTCCATTATTGTTCCAGATAGTTACTCTGCTGATTATTAAGTCCCAGCTGCAGGTCTGAAAGGTGCCATCTTGTTCTCCTGCTACCGGCTCCTCTCTAGACAATTGCACCCCTCTCCTCCTCTGTGTTAGTTTGCACTGGCTCCATTTCGTGTTCTACAAAGCGCAAGAGCAAAAATGATCGTCGTCTCCTCTCGCACTTTTTCCTCTGAAAATTCTGTTTTGATACATCTGTGTGTGCGTGTGGACATGCACATAAGAAACTAGGGACAGTTCCTGAACCTGGGGGAAAAGAAGAGGGATTCCACTCTGACATGCAGACCTAACTCTGTCAGGTTGCACACAAGAAGAAGAGAAGAGATTGGATTTATACCCCATGGCCCTTCACTACCCAAAGGAGTCTCAGAGCAGCTTACAAACTCCTTTCCCTTCCCCTCCCCACAACAGACACCCTGTGAGCAATGTTCCCTCTTAGCTGTAGAGTCTTGTGAGCAAAATTTCTACTTTGTGAGTTACTGGCATTGGAGTTGTGAGCGAGCAATTTGGCCACTGCATCAGTTAGTTTGCTCTGGAGCCCTCCTCCCTGAGCTAAGACAAAAATGTGTGAGCCGGAGGCTAAAAAACGGTGAGCTAGCTCACACTAACTCAGCTTAGAGGGAACACTGCCTGTGAGGTAGGTGGGGCTCAGAGAGCTCTTTCGAGAACTGCTCCTGAGAGAACAGCTCTGACAGAACTATGGCTTGCCCAAGGTCATCCAGCAGCTGCATGTGTAGGAGTGGGGGAATCAAACTTGGTTCTCCCAGATTAGAGTCCGCACACTTAACCACTACACCAAACTGGCTCTCTGAGCCAGTTTTCTTAACTTTTACAGCCACTCTGGCACAGCTGGTCCTTACAATGTCTATCGTTTGAACGCAGGAGCAGCCCTGTAAGAACACGAGAATAGCAGAAGAGCCCTGCTGGCTCAGAGCAGTGGTCCATTTAGTCCAGCATCCTGTTTTACACAGTAACCAAACAAGTTGTCCTGGAGGACCGACAAACAGGGCACGGAGGCCAAGGCCTTCCCCCGATGTTGCCTTCTGGCGCTGGCGTTTGGAGGTTTACTGCCTCCAAATGTGGAGGTTCCCCTTTAGCCACCATGGCTAAGGAGATGTTACGGGGCAAAATCTGCAGCAGATCAAGCCTGGGCTGCAGGCAGAGCTTGGCAGCTGTGCTTCCAGCTTATTTTAGCAAGTTCCTCCTGAAGTCAAGCCTGTGGAATGAATGGAATGTGGCCTCTTGCACAGAAAGCTTGTGGAGGAGAGGGCGAGGGGGAGAGAGAGAGAGAGCAATCCTTTCAGTCGGTTTTTCCACACTGGAGAGGGGCAACGATGCCAGCAAGATGACAGGCTTGCAATTCCCCTTTACTCCTTGGGGAGAGAGTGACGGGGCTGAAGGTCCAAGTCCAGTCGCTTGACTTAGAGACCGACAGGAGTTTCAGGGTATGAGGTTCCCCGAGTCAAAGTTCCCTTCATCAGCAACGAGTAGGAACGGAAGGGGAGGAAGGGGCATCCGCAGCGCTGGCGATGAGACAAGAACAGAAAGCACAGAGGGAGGAAAACGTCAGCGGGGAGTCTTTTGCAAGGGCAGGAGTCATTGAGTCTCTCCCTGGCAAGCCCATGCAAAGGATACGACAGCTGTATGAACAGCAGGGTGAAAGGTGAATGGCGAATGCAGGCCAGAGCCGCTGTCACCTTACAGGCAATGCTCCCTCTAAGCCGTGGAGTCTTGTGGGGGGAAATCCTACTTTGTGAGCTTCTGGCATTCAAGTTGTGAGCGAGCGATTCGGCTACTGCATAAATTAGTTTGCTCTGGAGCCATCCCTTCCTGAGTGAAGACAAAAATGGGTGAGCCGGAAGCTAAAAAACTGTGACCTAGCTCACACCAACTCAGCTTAGAGGGAACACTGATTACAGGCACCAGAAGCACAGCTGCACCCATCCCCATGTACCGTGCTTTCATCCCCACTTCAACCATGTGCCACAAAGGCAAGGTAGCCAGTTGCTCCAGACACATGTCCTCCTCCTCCCCCATATACAACCTCACAAGAGCCATGTACTATGGGGAACATGGTGTCTAACCCACCAAAATCAATGCATGTGAAAAGCCACCAGCTGAAACAGTGGAGTCTTTACATCCACTGTCTCCCTGAGCACTAGGATACACCACCTCCTAGCCAACAGAGGTCCCCTAATAGATGATGGCACACATAACCAATCCACAGGCAACACAAAATGCAAAGAAGGCACCAAGCTTATTAGAACCATGTCGTCCAATGGTTAAAGAACCAGTATACTGGTGATCCCCCTCAGACATCACCCAATGGATGGCACACAAACAATTCACAGGCAAAACAAAATGCAAAGTAGGAACTAAGCTGATTATAACCATGTGGTCCAATGGTTAAAGAACCAGTATATTTGGTGATCCCCCACAGATGTCACCCAATGGATGGCACACATAAACAATTCACAGGCCAAACAAAATGCAAAGAAGGCACCAAGCTTATTATAACCATGTGGTCCAATGGTTAAAGAACCAGTATATTTGGTGATCCCCCACAGATGTCACCCAATGGATGGCACACATAAACAATTCACAGGCCAAACAAAATGCAAAGAAGGCACCAAGCTTATTATAACCATGTGGTCCAATGGTTAAAGAACCAGTATACTGGTGATCCGCCACAGACATCACCCAATAGATGGCACACATAAACAATTCACAGGCAACACAAAATGCAAAGCAGGAACCAAGCTGATTATACCTCTGTGGCCCAGGGGCTAAAAAGCCATTATACTGGTGATCCCCTACGGACATCACCTAATAGACGGTACACGTAACCGATCCACAGGCAAAACAGAATGCAAAGTAGAAACCAAGCTTATTATAACTTTGTGGTCCAGGAGCTAAAGAGCCATTACACTGGGGATCCGGGTTCAAGGCTTACCCAGTTCAAGACCTTAGCCAGGTTACTCATTCTCATCCTTGGTCAAATGGACATACTAGAGACCCACTTCAGAGGTGCTGCATAAAAAGGGCTGAAAGAATTCACAGGCAACAGGATATTTCCAGGCATTTTGCAGGCATGGAAGAGATCAGAATCCTTAGGTGCCAGGAATGTTTCAACGACAGGCATTAGTAGCAGCTTCCAGTCATGAACTTTTGTTTCTGAAAGTCAGTCTTTAAGGTAGTTCCAGCACATTTGCTCTGCTGCCCTTCTGGAATTCACAGCAAACAATCCCGCCCACCCATGTGGGCCAAGCTGCACCCAAAGGGACCTTCTCAGAGAACAAATTCCATCTCTGGCCAGCAGTCTTGTTCAGCTAAGGGCTCTTGCCACAGCAGTCCCATGAACACATTCCACATTCTTTTCCCACCAGTACCAGGCACAGCAGTGGAGGGCAAGGCGGGGACTCTGCCTGAACGTGAAAGAACGGGTCTAAGAAGTCTACCAAGGAAGGCTGCACTTTTCCCTCTCCATGTGCCAGAGGTGGAAGCGCTGGGGATCCTCTCCTTGCATGGTGCCATCTAGAGAGCCGGTCTGGCTGGACCCTTTTGGATGGGACTCTTTAGACACAAGGGAACAATGGTGCTTTCCCCAGATAGCCAGGCCCTATTGATTATCTCAAGGTCCGCAACCTTTGCAGTTGTCTGTTGCATTTTCTACAGCAATAACCAATTCTATTTTCAAGTTTTATTTTTTTCACATTATTTATTTATTGACATTGTTTATAGTCTACCTGAGGGGTGTCGAACTCATTTGTTATGAGGGCCAGATCTGATAAATGAGATTTTGTTGGGCCGGGCCATGTACGTCATAAAATGTAATGCCAGGTAGCGGAGATATAAACTTTATAAAGGACACAAACACAAAGGTTTTTTTTAACTTAAAATAAAAACATGCTTAAAACATCAGCACTCATGCAATACTTTGTTTATTTAACAGTGTCTGATAACTGACACCTCTTGTTCTGAATTATTGCATCAAAATGTCTGTGCTGTTGCAATCTTGAGTATGCTGTTCAGGTGTGTATCTGTAAGCTGCAAACCTATGATGACGCAGCAGCAGCAGAACTGGAAGCAGCAGCAGAAAACAGCCAGTTCCACTGCGGGCCTGATAGAAGCCCTCTGGGGTCCTGATCCGGCCCCCAGGCCACATGTTTGACACCCCTGGTCTACCTTTCTCAGTGGGACTCAAGGATAACTGCAAAGAGTGAGTCAATCAAATCGACAGGATGGGATATTCAATAAACAATGGAATGGGATTTGGGTTGTAGAGACCAATCAGAAATTTTAAAAAACAGAACCACAAACTAGAGGGTTAAAAAATATTTAGATACCTTCAGATGCAGCCATTTGAGCTTCACTTTCATTCAAACAATAACAACAGACAATCCCAGTGAAATCAACAGAGTGTGGACTTCCCCTCCCACAAATATACCAAACAATATTATTTAAATGCTAACTGCTACATGCGTTTCTTACGTTTCCATTTCCCCCAAATTTCCCAGGGGGAAAAAGTGTTGGAATATACAATGTTTGATGTACAAGCTCCAGCAGAGGGCGCCACAGGGAAAGCTAATCAGACAGGGATGTGGGTCTTCACTTCCTTCCTTCCTTCCGGTGTCACTCCCAGAATGCTATTCTCAGGCTGTTTTCCTGTTTCTTTCTTGAGATTTCTTCCCTCTTGTCCTGCAGATAGGATGTTACAGCTCTCTCTGTCAACTAATGTGTTATGTCTTATCTGTATAACATCTCATGTGAAGCTTAAGACCAGGACAAGGATTGTAAGGTGAAAAAATCCTATTGGCTATTGTATGAATGCAACCAATCAGAAGGCAGAGAAGTGTTCAGGAGGGAACAAATCTGATTGGGTGTTAACTTTGTAATGCCATTGGTCCTTAACTATTCTAGGGCGTGCCTACATCAGCCCAGGATAGTTTAAAAGGGAGCTATTGCTCCACTGTTGTATGTCTGTTCTCTTCCTGTTACTTCAATAAAGCTGATTCACTGTTTGATTACGAGACGGCATCGAGTTCCATACTTAACATAATGGCAGTTCCTTAACAAGCTACTCTATTTCCTTACTCAGTTTGTGTCACTGACCTTGAATATTCCCTCTGCCAAGAGGTTAGTGGCCCTGGCAGCAGATGTTCTAAGTGCCGGGTGGCTGTGAGTGGGGCATAATAAAGGAAAGATGGCAACTGCGTGAGCTGCAGATCCCAAACTTGGGATGGAGACTAAATGGAGAGACCAATCAGACGTGGAGATTACGGTTGAAAACAACATTAACGTGATTTGTGAGAAGTTAACACGCCAAGAGAGATCATCAGAAGGTTCCAAAATTCAAGCTATGTAGGACAAAAAGAAGGACAGTGGGAAGGTAGTAATTATGTAGGCAACTGGAGAAAGAGAACTGATTGAAATCTCCGAACAAGAGACTTGCCTTGGGTATGTGGGATCAATTAAAAGCTCTCCGTAGGAAAACCAACCTTAAAAGCCAGATCTGTTTGCAGTAAAAGCAATACAGCTTGCAGCTAAAGGAGCTGGGAAATCTGAGAAATTGCATAGATACATGTTTAAACTGAGGGCAGATGGGAAGGAGATAAATGACTGTAATATCATAGCATTCATTTGTGTTCGCCTCCCGGACTCTTATGGAACAATAATCAATCCTACAGAGGCAAAGGCAGATTTAAACCTTTAAAAAGTGTTCCGACCCAACCAGATGCAGCAGAATCTTGGACAGCCAGCAATAAAGGGGAATGAACCCATTCTGCCTTTAGTGACCACAGCAGATGAGAAAAAGAAAATTATTTGTTATCTGTGCGGAAATCCAGGTTACATAAAGAAGTGAAGCCCAACGGTCCAAGGCAAAGAGACAGAAAGGGAAATTCCCTGCCATTTAAGATGGAAAGATATCAGAAAAACACATGCTCCAAATTGACACGAGAACCAGTCAAAAAAACCAGCGGTGCACAGATTCAGGGGCCACAACCCATAAGGTCAGCAATAAAAGCTTCTTTGAAAAAGGAGGAACTTCTTCTTGCTGATGGCAAAATTACAGGAACAGTTGTGTCCAGGAAATGTGTACTGAAAAGGCCAGCAGGTGGCATGAGAGAAATGCTTGCTCAAGATGTCCTTTATGTATCCTAGCCTGCAGTAGAGCCCTATCAGTGGCAGAGTTCAGCCATGAAGAATGATAAATGTACAATCTGTAATGGAAGCGATATGATTGCAAGAGGGACTTTGCACAATTACTTGCATATCAATTGTTGTATTACAAAAGGAAAAGAGCAAATGTTGTCACACACAGTGTGTACACGGGAGATATGTTCGTTTGTTCCACAGATCCAGAGGCAATTTCTCAGCTTGAGAAAAGGAACTGAGCGAAAGGCATGCTAACGACTGGGCGTGTTAATGCAGAAAAAAATGTATATGCTGTGTGAAGGCAAAAGGGGCCTGACCTCCCTTCAACAGGCCAGAAGAATTGCATTCTTGCATTCCAGGCAAGGAACGAGCAGGGATGGTCTGCAATTGCCTTCCTCTGCATAGCAGCCCCAATCTTCCTCGGTGGTCTCCCATCCAAGTATTAACCGCTGCCAACCCTGCTTATTTTCCCAGCTCTGACAAGCTCACACTAAGCTGGGCTAGTCAGGCTACTTCAATGGGCAAAGCACGAGATAAACCAAACGCCTTCAACATGGTGATGTGTGTGGGCCCATGAAAATGGCCACTCCAAGTGGAAATAAATACACACTAAGCTATATCAGTGGCTGCAAAGGGGTATGGTAGCGCACCTACACAGAGAGAAAGGTTAAGTGCCGGAAGATTTGTGAACATATGTAGCCATGGCCGGCAACAGATTTCAGAGGAAAAAAACACTTGTGACCAATGTTCCCTCTAAGCCATGGAGTCTTGTGAGCAAAAAACCTACTTGGTGAGCTACCAGCATTGAAGTTGTGAGCGAGCGATTTGGCTACTGCATGAATTTGTTTACTCCGGAGCCATCCTCCCTGAGCTAAGACAAAAATGTGTGAGCCGGAGGCTAAAATACTGTGAGTTACCTCACACTAACTCGGCTTAGAGGGAACACTGCTGTGACCGAACAGACAATAGAGGCTAAAACATGGGAAATTAAATGGCAAGTTATCTAACTGAGCGGAGCTGCGGTGGCTCAAGTGGTTAAGACACTGAACTGCAGGCTGTGGAAGGTCAGTAGTTCAGCAGTTTGAGACCCGGGTGCCGCATGATGGACTGAGCTCCCATCTCGAGTTCCAGCTCCTGCCAACCTAGCAGTTCGAAAGCAAGAAATTGCAAATAGATAAATAGGTACCACTTCGGTAGGAAGGTAACAGCGTTCCGTGCGCCTTGGTGTTTAGTCATGCCGGCCACATGACCAAGGAAACGTCTTCGGACAGCGCTGGCTCTTCGGCTTTGAAACGGAGATGAGCACCGCAACCCTAGAGTCGGATTCAACTGGCTTTCGAGCAAGGGAACCTTTACCTTTACCTTTATCTAACTGAGCAAGGGACAGAGCACCAGGCTACAGTGCTCTACACCCCTGAGAAAGATGGCCTAGCAAAAAGAAAGAATAGCTCCCTTACAGATGTCAAATGTGTGCTCCATAATGCAGTGCAATCTGACAAATAAGAGAATCAATGATGACAGCTGTTTTTGCCATCAAGTTACAGCCGATTTATGGCAACCCCATAGGGTTGTCAAGGCAAGAGACCAACAGAGGTAGTTTGCCCTTGCCTGCCTCTGCATAGCAACCCTGGGCTTCCTTGATGGTCTCCCATCCAAGTACCAACCAGGGCTGACCCTGCTTAGCTTCTGAGATCTGATGATTCTGGGCTCGCCTGAAGTATCCAAGTCAGGGCGTTACAACAGCTACCTACCGGTCAAACAGACAGCGTACCAAAGGCAGAAGTACTATGCCATTTGAACTGTGGATATGAACCCAGTCTGCAGCAGCTCGGTTAGAGGAAAAGGCTGCACTTGTGTTC